CACACATACACAGTGTACCCACATACACAGTCTGCACACATGCAGTGCACTACAGACACACAGTGCACACACGTGGACATATGGACACATGCACACAATCTATACACATGGTACAACAAATGTACACACAGTACATACACATGTGTGGTATAAACACATGCACAGTCTGTACACATGTACTGCACTACAAACACAAAGTGTACACACACAGACATATGGACACATGCACACAGTATTTATGCACAGTTTCATGCACCCATGCACAGTGCGCTCATGCATGCACAGTGTACACACAGTCATGCAGTATTCACGTGGAGCACACATAATGTACGCAGTGTCTGCACATCATACACATGTGCAGTGTACACATATAGGTGTAGTGTACACATAAGCACAGTGTACATGGGTGTCTGCACATTATACACATGCGCAGCACACACACATGTAGTGTACACATGAGCACAGTGTACATGGATGTTTGCAGATTATACATGTGTGCAACATACACACATGTGTACTGTATACACAGGCACAGTGTACACTAGTGCCTGCACATTATACACACGAGTGTACATGCATGTGTGTATTGTACACACACAGTGTACATGGGTTTCTGCACATTATCCATGCATGCAGTGTACACACATACATGTAGTGTACACATGGGCACACTGTACCCGGTGTCTGCGTATTATACACACTTTCAGTGTACACACATACAGGTAGTGTACACATAGGCTGAGTGCGCATTCCCACACATAGTGTATGCATGCATGCACAGTGTACCTATGGACATTTTGTATACATGTGGAGCACACACAGTGTATATGGATGTCTGCACATTATACATGTGTGCAGCGTACACACATACATATAGTGTACACACATGTACAGTGTACATGGTGCCTGCACATTATACAGGCGTGCAGCCCACACTCATACGTGTACTGTGCACACATACACGGTGTACACACATGTACAGTGTACATGGTGCCTGCACATTATACAGGCGTGCAGCCCACACTCATACGTGTACTGTGCACACATACACGGTGTACACACATGTACAGTGCACACACAGGCACCCACAGTGTACATGTGCACAAACTGTGCACACATGCACACATCTCTTTGTATGCTTGAGGTCATAGTCGCAGCCACTCTGTCAACCCAAGGTTGGTGGTTCAAACTCAACAGCCACCCTTGGAAACCCTATATAGGGTCACTATGAGTTGGAATTAACTCGACGGCACTTAGCAACAACAACAACGGACAGAAAACCAAAAGGGAAAAATATGCGCAGCATGTCTCAAGCTGAAAGAATTACGAAAAAATTCAAGCCTCTGCTTGCAATATTGAAGGATTCTGTGGTCAAAATCCACCATTTGTCTGCTAGTTGCTGCACTATGGTGGCTTGTGTGTTGCTGTGATTCTGGAAGCTGTGCTACTGGTGTTTGAGATACCAGTAGGGTCACCTATGCTGAGCAGGTTGCAGCTGAACTTCAGACTAACAGAATAGAAGGGAGGAGAGGGGGACCATTTTGGAATGTTTAGCCACTGACAACTTTCTGAACAGCAGTGGAACATTGTCAGATAGAGTCTGAAAGATGAAAACATGGTGGATCACACCAGAACACTGTCATATACACTGCCCGAAGATGAACCCCTCAGGTTGGAGGGCACTCAAAATACGAGCAGGGAAGAGCTGCCTTCTCAAAGTAGAGTTGACCGTGATGACACGAATGGAGCAAAGCTTTCAGGACCTTCAGTTGTTGATGGGGCACAACTCACAGAAATACACAAACCACCACAGTACGGGAAATGGACCGACGAGTGGTGGAAGGCATACTGTATGATCCTATTTTTGGGCTCTTTTGGAATAGACAGAGATATTCAACAACGGAAGGGAAGTACCACAGTTGTTGTTATCTGTTGAGGAGTGTGGGGCGAATTTCAGGTGGTGGAAATAGCCAATAGCTTAAGAGGAGCTAGTGAATGTGTTTCTCAGAAATTCATGGACGGGTACACTGAAGGCCTGCAGATTTTATCCTAACCCCCAAACCAAACCCACTGCGAGTCAATGCTGACTCACAGAGACACTATAGAGTTACGAGGCTATACATCTTTATGGGAGCAGCCAGCCTCATCGCTCTCCTGTGGAGTGGCTGGTGGCTTTGAACTGCCGACCTTGTAGACAGCAGCCTGGTGTTGATCCTGCAGATTTCACAGTATGCCAGCTTCACCTAACACAGAAACCACTCTCTTCATCTGCAGTTAATCACATGCATGCTCATGGGATAATCTATGTCTGGGACTGAGTAAAACAGACTGGCAGGCTTGCGATAGAAGAACTGTGGCAACCTGTGAGCCATCAGCAGGCCTAGGTGAACGTCTCTAACTGTTTGTGGTACATTTCTTTCAATCAGCGGAGTTCTCGAGTCAGCGGTCATCGTTTATGTTTGAGAGGCTTAGAGTGTGAAGCTTGCTTGTCACTTCCTGGAGTGTGGCCTCCACAGAGTTCTTGAGCTTCCCCGGATCCTTTGGAGGATTTCTGTGAGAACAGGGCCAAGCACAGTTGGAGCTCTGTAAAGTGTTAGCTGTCGGTCCCGTTCTCTTGGAGTGTGCAGGCCTGGCCTGGCAGGGAGGCATTAAACATGCACAGGAACTTAGAGGAGTCCAGAATGTGAGAACTGAGAGACATTCTCCTTCCAGAAGAGCCTTTTGGAGAAGGCAGCTTTGGCGCAGACACTGAAGGATCAATGAAGCGTGGGACTGTGGGAAAGGGAGAGGAGCCGCGCAGGCTGAGGGGGGCTGACTGTTTGTAGAGAGCTGGGTGGGAAGACTCGGGACCCTGCACTGGCTTTGATTTCCTCTGTAGAATGCTCTCGGGTCATCAGTACACAGGACCCTCAGGGAGACCCAGTGACACATAGCGACAGCAATGACTGTGGGGAGGGAGCAGGATCAGGCAGGATATGGGAGTCCTGCTGAGTCTGTAGGATAAGCCCTACGCTACTAACCACAAGGTCAGGAGTTCAAAGCCACCAGTCGGCTGCTCCTTGGAAACCTTGTACAGGGTCACTGAGTCAGAACCGGCTCGGTGTCACCTCACAAGAACAGGTTTACTTTGTGTCTTTTGTTATTCCTGTCGTCTCCTTTCCATCCCTTTCTTAGTACTTAGAATCGCCCCCAGGATTATGACTTTGTTTCTCCGTCTGCTTATGTATTGCTGTCTTCCCTTTGGATTGTAGTCACTGGTGTAGAGCTCTGGGACCTGACAGTATGTATGCTCCCCTGGGGACTAGGACGGTGGCTGGTGCAGAGCTGGTGTGAGATGGACACGTGTTGTCGGGATGAGAAAACGAGAGTGAATTCCTGTTGTCCAGCATGTTGGCAGCATAGATGGGCAGTGGGACCTTTGTGAGGGAACCCCATGGGAGCCATGGTGGGAGCTGGCCTCAGCTGTGTGGAATTGGAGGGACTCTGAGCCGTGTTGAGCCATGCTGTGGACAGCTGAGTGTGGATGGACGAGGGAATGTCGAGAAAGATGGTGGGAAGACCACCTCGCTTAGTCTTCTGGTGGGTGACAACAGGCCCATGTGGGAACCAGGGTGGTGGGAGGTGTTGACAGGCATGGTCCCCAGGACTCTCCAGCTGTGACCTGTGCTCCCAGAAGTACTTGAGACAGTTTAGTGGGAGAGGAGGGAGCCGTCTCCATGGCAGACTGGCCCGACGCTGTGGAGGACTGTCCTGTGTGCGGAGCTGCATCGACTCAGGTGATAGTGCAGGCCTTCCCCACTGCTTCTCAGTGGGGAAACTTTGCATCCGTCAGCCACTGGGTCCCCTCATCTGTGAACGGGCGCTATGTTCAGTGTGCTGACCTACAGAAGTTGTTAATGCTGTATCTCAGGGCTGCCGGGAGGAGGACAATGTTCTCTAAGTCACGAAGCCTCAGTCCGAATCAGGAGTTACAATCTTTACGTTGCTGTGTCTTGTGTTTTAGGAAGTCCCGTATTTGGTGGGAAGCTCTGCCTTGAGCCTCAGCAATGCCCACATGAACCCCTGTTCCTTCCTTTTTATAAACTCACTGCCATCGAGTTGATTCTATTTCATAAAGACCCTACAGGACAGAGGAGAGCTTCCTTAGGGTTCCCAAGACAGTCAGTCTTTACCGGAGCAGACACTCTTGTCATTCTCCCTCAGAGCAGGTGGTGGATTTGAACCACCCACCTCTGGTTAGTAGCCCAAAGCTTAACCCACTGTGCCACCAGAAAGCATTTTCTTTATTTCTAAAGGAACTTAAAAAGGAGCTCTGGTAGCCCAGTGGTTATGAATCGGGCTACGAATCTCAAGGTCAGCAGTTCAAACCTACCAGCTGTTCTGTAGAAGAAAGATGAGGCTTTCTGCTCCCGTAAAGATTTACACCCTTGGAAACCCTCTACAGGGTCGCTATGGGTCAGAACCGACTCCACAGCACACCACCACCACCACCACCAAAGGAACTTAAAATCGGAATTTAATCTGCTGTCCCAGGGAATGTTAGTGTGTATGCATTAAGGTTGTTTTAACAGTATTAGCAAGCACACAGAATGGGCTCCTTCCACCTCAGGGACTAGGCTTGCCTCTCCTGGCCTTCTCACTGTCTTCTCTCCTCGCTCTGTGCCCAGTTGTCCGAGGAGGAGAAGATCCAGCGGTACAGCATCCTCTCGGAGCTCTACGAACTCATTGGCTTTCACCGCAAGTCGGCCTTCTTCAAACGTGTGGCCGCCATGCAGTGCGTGGTTCCCAGCATCGCCGAGCCGGGCTGGAGGGCCTGCTACAAGCTCCTCCTGGAGACACTGCCCGGCTACTGCCTGTCGCTGGACCCCAAAGACTTCAACAAAGGTACGTGGGGTCCCAACACCCTGGTGGTCCCTGTGTGGTTGGCACTTGACTGTTAGTGCGGAAGAAAGGGCTGTCAATCTGCTTCCATAAAGCTGACAGCCATGAAAACCCGATGGGCAGTTCTGCTCTGCCACACGTGGGGCCACCAGTGAGTCGGTGTCCACCCAATGGCAACGAGTCTGGTTTTGTGTCAGAGTTCAAATGTGATCTAATTCTGTCAGCCGTGTGCTGTTGGAGCGTTTGTTGTGCTTGGGATCCTGAGGTGCCAAAGATGAAACCATCCCCTGCCCTGCACTTGAGTATGTTCCGTCCTAAAACGCAGTGCTGCTTTGCTGTGGGACCATGTCCCCTGAGCCGGTGATGTGGTGTGTTCCCGACACACGCTTGCAGGGCTCAGAGGTGAGTATTATCCCCTAAGAGAAAGCATATTGGGAAATGGGGCAGCCAGAGCATGGTGAAGAGTGTCCACTGTGAACCCAGGACCCAACGTCCTGTTGAGATTTGTGATGGTGCACGACACAGCACTGGAGCCTGGTGGTGCACTGGGCCAAGTGCTCAGCTGCTGTCTGAAAGATCGGCTGTTTGAACCCACCCACAGCTTCATGGCAGGAAGATGAGGCAGGCTGCTTCAGTACAGATTTGACAGCCTAAAGACCCTACAGGGCAGTTCATTCTGTCCTGCCTGCTCTTCCTGAGTGGGGGTGGTTTTGATATGTCACTGTGAAACCCGAGGCCACAGACGATTCACACTGTGGCAACAGCCCTCCAGATGGGGTTTCCTCTGCCCGTGGAGCTGCGTCCCCCCCCCCACATGCCCATTGCGACGCAGCGCTCAGGCCCACTTCCTCCCTGGCCTGTGGGCGCCCTGTTTTGTTTCAGTGATGGGGCAGGGGCACTGTGGTGGAGGCTCACAGGGTTCTGAGTAGGTGGAGGTGGGCTGCTGCTGAGGGGCTTTTGGCTCATGGCAGAAGAGTGAGGGTGGGGGCTGAAGGAAAGGGGGGTGGCGTGACTCAGGGCTGGGTTCTCAGAGTTGGCTCCGTGTGTGTGGCCCTGAGGGTCACTCTGTGTGGCGTGGTTGGTGTGGTGTGTGTGGCCCTAAGGTTCACTCTGTGTGGCGTGGTCAGTGTGGTGTGTGTGGCCCTGTGGTGCACTGTATGTGGCGTGGTCTGTGTATGTTGTCCTGAGGTTCACTCTGTGTGGCGTGGTCGGTGTGGTGTGTGTTGTCCTGTGGTTCACGGAGGCATGTCAAGCCATTTGTCTGTAGGATTCAGTAGGATCCCGCTGTAGCACAGATCCCAGCCCCCCGCTGCCCAGTGGGCTCATTGCGATCCTTGAGGACGGAACAGACTGCCCATGGGGTTTCCAAGGCTGTAAATCTGTACATGAGCAGACTGACTCATCCGGACTTACCTTTCTCCTGCAGAACTGCGGGTGGGTTCCAACTACAGACCTTACAGGTAGCAGCCCAGTGCTCACTGCACCGTGCCACCAGGGTTCCTCCCATAGCACAGAACGCTGTGCTGTTAATGGGTCCAGTTTAGGGGGACCTTACTCCTGTCCCTTGCTGACTGATTTATTTTATTGTGGGGCTTCAGAAGGTCTGGGGAAAGTGGATTCTTTCCAGAGACTGTTTGAAGCTTCTCTCTGAGCTTCTTCCACATGCATGGCGCGGCGATATAACCAACGTGTATCACATTGTACAGCCGCCATTTCTATTTCCAACTTGTTTTTATCCTTCCCTCCCCCCCCACAAGCAAGGACTCCCTTCTCTTGTCCCCTCGCCCCCCGCCCCCCTATTGCTGTGAATAACTGCTCTGTGTACACTGGCCCATTCTGAAGAATTCATTTTGTCCTATTCCTCCCACCACCAGACCTGCCCGGGGGATTTTGGTTAAATCTGTAGGCACGTACCTAGTGGTTTTTGGTATTTTTAGTGGTTAGAAACTTGTCCTTATCGGATGTTAGAAGGCATGGGCTGTTCTCATTTTCTTCAGCGTCTTAAAGTCCCCTGTCCTTTCAGTGATGCGTGGAGAGCAGCTGGGGTGCTAGGCAGGGTCACCGAGGCACTGGCCGCTGCCTGCCCTGACTCCCTGGCCGAGTCTGGAAGGAGGTGCCAGGTGTGCTTGGGCTTCATGCCCGTGGGCCTTGAGCCACCCTGAGGGGCGTCTCTTCTTGTCCACACCAAGGCATGTTTACCTTTCTCACAGCTTGGTGGGTGACTATTGTAGGTCCGTGTGGCACTGGGGAAGGGGAGGATTGTGTTGGCTGTTAAGTCCAGTCAGTTCTGACTCGTACTGATGTCCTACAGTAGGGGTGGGGAACATCTGGCCTGTGGGCCATGTAATGCCTGCTGAATCGTTTAGTCTGGTCCTGCCAAGGTAATTGCAGTTCCAGCCATCACATTGTTGTTAAGTGCTGTTAAGTTGGTTCCGACTCATAGCGACCCCGTATAGGGCTTCCAAAGAGTGGCTGGTGAGCTTGAATCATGACCTTGTAGTCCAATGCTTTAGCCTACAGTGCCACACCAAGACTGCACATCAGCTATCACATTGTTGTTGTTAAGTGCCCTTGAGTGTTTCTGACCCATAGCCACCCTGTATAGGGTTTCTGAAGAGGGGCTGCTGAGCTTGCACTGCCAACCTTATGGTTCAAACCAACTTTGCATTCCAGCGCATTAACCCACAGCACCACATTAAGGGTGAGTTAATTAAATGTGACCAAATCCTGGTGTGGTGCTGTGGGTTAATGCGCCAGACTGCAAAGTCATTTGAACTGCAAGGCTGGTGGTTCAAACTCACTAGCCATTCCTCATAAACCACCCTATACAGAGTCGTTGGCCATTTTGAATCTGACAACTACATGGTTTACTATGCCAGAAATGACAAATTAAAGAGGAATGGTGTTGCATTCATTGTCAAAAAGAACATATCCAGATCAGTCATGAGGTACAACGCTGTCTGTGATAGGATAATATCCATGCGCCTACAGGGAAACCAAGTTAATACCATTGTTATTCAAATTAATGGCCCAACCATGAAAGCCAGCGAGGACAAAATAGAAGATTTCTATAAATTTCTTTAATCAGAAATCGATCAAACATGCAATCAAGATGTATTATCATTACTGGTGATTGGAATGCAAAGATTGGGAATAAACCTGAAGAACAGATTTGATACATTAAACACTAAAGACCAAAGACCAGAACATTTGTGGGATGACATCAAGAACATCATACATGAAGAAAGCAAAAAGTCATTAAGAAGACAAGAAAGAAGGAAAAGATCAAAATGGATGTCAGAAGAGACTT